TCGGGTGATATTTAATCATCTCATACTTGTAGCCTTTGCAATCACTCCAAATATTTGTAATTACAAGGACAAATGCAGTTTGAGAATGATAATGAAACGTTGATAATTGTAGGATGAATAAATAAAATTTATCTGTTAGCGTTTATGTTTCTACAATTAGTCTTACAGGTAGCCTTCTTCTAAACGCATTTTTGCCTCTCGCCTGATATCTCGCGAAGTCTTAAAGGTTGGCTGTTGTTCCCGAATTTCTTATTTTAATATTTTGTATTTTCATTAAACACCACATGCTCTTATATACTGTAGGGCGTCCACTACGTATCCTATAAAACTCAGTCAAGACCTCAATAGTTACCCTCGATGAGTTAGTTAAAAGAATTCTTAAATCAAAATTTCACAACTCGTCGTTGAAAAATTTTAATTAAAGTCTATTTTATAATTTAAAACATTTCCTCATCAAAACAATGCTAACTGTATAGCTGGAGAAGATTTTTTTAGTGATAGTATATCGTTGTTGGGGATTAGAACTCATTTTATTTTCTCTAACCTGTTTGTATTTTAATCAGACGCCTTACTCATGAGCCTGTGGACACTGCTGCCAACTTGAACCGATTGAAAATCACCGACATGTATTGTTTTGTGTATATAAAAACTGAACAAACAGTTATTATGTAGAACTTGTATTTCTGTGTACACGTGAAATGAAATTATGTCTGACAGTACACATATGTTCTAGCTGCATATAAATACAACTGGGAATCTAGGTGGGGGTAGGAGAGTACATTCTAGGGAACGCATGTCCATAGGGCATGTTTCTAAGGAAAGGGAGGGACATACATTCTTTTCACACTGACCACGGGTTCTACGAATATCACAAAATGTGTACCGCCTTTGCGGTTCGAACGACGCCTCGTAGAAAACCGTCATTTTGAAATGACTGATTTCGCCGATTATACAGACTTGACATTTAATATGGAATATTTTTTCCAAATCATAATCCATCCCTTTTTTTCCTATTTTGCTGACTGATAGATGAAAATAATGATTAAAATCGTGTTTTAATAACTTTTGATAAACTATTCGATGTCAGTGTGACATCTGTTCATTAAGTGAATTCGCCAGTGAAGCATACAAAAATACATTGCCTATTTTAAGTCATATGACAACCATTGAAAGCGATATTTTGGATCTCCATATTTTCCTAATTATTGTCTTTATAAGAGTTACAGGTCCCACAAAGCCCCCCCCCCCCCCCCCATGTCAGTGTCTAGTCACAGCAACAGTCGCTGTTACGCTTGACCTCATCTTGCTGCTACCAGAGGTTACAAGCCGCAAGGTATTCCTTATGATAGGTTTTTAGAGTTTAATCTGACATAAAATTCCAGGCAACGGTTAAAACTTGTCCAATTTGGCTCAGTTTTGTTGTAGAACATGCAGGCCGTTGATACGGCGAGTAATGACCTACCGACATATTGTCTATGTGGTTCAATTATGGCGATTTTGATGACCAAGGTAACTACTCATTCCCTTGGTTCTGTAAGTTTTTTTGCTATGGAAAGTGCTCTGTGTGAACCGACAATCTCATCGTACAACCTAAATTGGTTCCTAAAGTGCCCCCTATCAAATGATAGTCAAGTGGTTCCCAGATTATTCCTTTATTTGATCTGGTTCAGGTTTTCATCGATGGCTACCATTGGTGTTTTGGCACCGATGTGGTATCCACTCCAATACTGACACTGTCAATGACCCTGGTCACTTAAGAAGTGGCACACGTTTCGTCGTAGGCCTCTTCAGGATATCTGTAAACTCTGTTTTGACCAGTTTAGCGGTACAGGTGAAGTTTGACCCCAATAAAGAAAGCCACGCGGTTTCAGTGTTCTACCCAGAAACGGTCATGGTCCCCAATTCATTAGAGAAACAGACTACCCTGCTTTGCTGTTTACAGTGGCTTTCTCAGAGGTCATCTGGTATCTTAACCTGCTGAAACCAATTTGGTGTTCGCGAAGAGCCTTGAAAAACGCGTTTTGGTGACAATTTGCCCCTCATTCAAAAAGGACTGGGTTGTTTTGGTTTAATTGCAGCAGCATATCCTGAAGGACAGTGAGTCCTGTACCCTGGTGGTAAGACGTCAATTCATTGGGCGTGGTCTCTGTGTAGGTACATCAGTCTGGGCATTACTCTATAAAACTGTATAGACCATTCCGTTTGACACAATAATCTGTCTGGCAATGTCTGTGCTTTTCGCGCCATTCTGGCACAGCTTAACAATTTTATAAAACACTACTTAACACATTTTACGCACTGCAAAACCGACCGCTTGCATACAAAATTTCAAATTTTTTCTATGCAGTAGTTGCCGATATATGGATACGTTTTTGACAGAACCATGCTTCGCCAAAGCCAAGCTTTGACCAGCCCAAAGGAGCACTGCCTAATTAAATCACTGCATATTACACAATGCAGCAGTGCAACAGGCTTGGTAGTCAGTTAATTGGTAGCGACACACCTGACTTCACACTTCTCCAGTCAGGTGTCTTATATGAGATCTGAATTTTTTGAAAAAGAACGCATTTTACCTAGGTATACCTTTAAAACTCAAATATTCCATATTAAATGTCAAGTCTGTAGAAGAGAAAATCAGAGTCATGCAAAACACTGCACCATTAAAATTTTAACCACAGAGTTATTATCTTGCACAGCAATTACAAGAAACATATCACATCACTTAAATTTTGTTATGGATTCAGTGATTCTATTTTTTTTTTTTTTTTTTTTTTTTTTTGGAGATGGTTGTTATATGCGCTTACAAGCTTCATAGATATTCCCATTCATTCTGACAATGTACAAATATATTCGTTTTTTCGTATTTTAGCTTTCACTTTACGACTATATGAATATATATCATGTAAAACAAAAAAGTTTTTAAACAAAATATGTTCATATTTTTGCTTCTTACCAGATGTAACCATCGACTTTTGCTGACGTCCTAATTTCTGACCACTTGTGGAAGTTAAAGGTGCTGAATAGACGACTTCAGACAGTGAGGACAATCTGCTTCCAGAGCCTGATTTAGATGGAAATAATTGTTAACATATATGCATTGTCACGTTATCAGTGATTGAAATTTCAACATAATGTTAAATGGCTATTTTGTTCACTTGCGCTGACCATGTAATTACACTGTACCAGTGGTGATATTCGGGGTAAACTTCACTACTATAGGAAGGTGTTTGAATATTTTTCACGAGTCTGGAGAGCCCATATAATCAAACTAACGAAAACCATTGGGTAAAATCCAGATACATACAACACTGAGTCACCTCATCATGGCATAAAACGGAATATATTGTAATATACCAAGTTATATAGTATTATTACATCGTAAGTATAAGATTCATACTTTCATAATAATGGAGTTAAAATTTCTACGTTTTAAAGTGATTTGTACAGAACATGGTGAAAATTCAAACGATGAAATAAGCTTAAGCTAATTGAAGGAAAATGTGAATTAAAAAAAAACAATATCACCGATTCGCTCCATTTGAAAGATTTTCCTTGAGAAGAGTACATAACTAATATTTTATTTTTCGTGGGTTGTGGTACACATTTGTAAGTTTTACTGTGCTAACCAAGGGACTTCGAAGTAAAAACATGGCTCAAATTTCCTCCTTATATTTTAAAGGAAGATCAACACACTGACACACGTTTGGTGACTGCGTTTAAACAGAAAGAGCGATTTAAGAAATGCAGGTAAGAAAGATGATCACCTCCCAATCCATGTCTCTGTAACTCATCCTCTACATCCTGGTAGCTAACTTCTAGTTCATCCGCCAGATACCAGAGACCAGAATCCCTGAATGCAGCTTTCAGATGTTTTATTGGTTCTTTTTTAGGACTGGTTGCAAGGAGTACTTTGAACAAATTTCTACAAGCATCACGTGGGTTTCTCTTTGCATCATTTTTAAGCTTTGTTGTCTCCTCATCTGGTATAACACTAAACTGATACAGGAAATCTAAAATTCTTTCGATGAAAAAGGAAAGTTCCTCAGCAAAAACAGCCACTTTCTCTCTCAATTTGTTGTACTCCATTTCACTCATAAGTCCCTTCTAGAAGAGAAATATAATAAGCTACATTTACAATTTACAGATGGACCCCGTTCGGCTTTATGTGTAGCCAGGACGGATTGCTTAGACCGACATTCTTCCAAAAAGAAATATACAAATATATGTTTCTGGGCAATGTCTGAAAGAAAAATATTAAGCTGATCATCTTGATCGTTGAAGTCCGAATAGGGGAGACGGAGCCGGTGATGAATCTGATTCACCACTACGTGAGAAACGCCGAACCCCTCGTGAAAGCTCCGGGCGAGGCTTTCGATGCTCTTACCTATATCGAACGGAGAAATGTTCATGTCAAATAGGTCATTCGACCCAATTACCAATATAACCAAGGCGGGGCGGACCAGGCGAAGGACACCCAAGTCATACCTGACTAGTTTCGAGACCGTACGGCCTCCCACACCGTGCCAGTGTACAACGTTGGGAAATGCAAAATCTTTTTCCCTAAGACCTTGGTCAAGATACGAAAGAAGCCTATGAATGAAGGAGTGACCGATTATAAGGACCGCCATGGCCAACTGATCAAGGATAACTTAAATGTAATGAAAAGAAAATCTTACTTGTAAATTGAAAGGTCTGCTTCCGTTTCTCAATAAAGTCTATTCAAGCTAGGGTTAGATCCCAGAGTCGCACAAACAAATTCGTAATAAGTAAAGCAACGGAAAACTTTTCCAGCGAGGCCCAACTTGTATAATCAGTCTTGAATGCTATGCTTTCAGCAAAGAACTTATAGCAAAGTGAGGCCGAGTACCAGTGTTTACTGAATAAATGCGGCAGTGCGTGCCTAAGAGAGAGTCCCGGATTTAATGCTGCAAATTTCAGCATAAGTGACGCTTCAAAGCTGCCGTGTCTCCCCGATGGACAGATACATTTCAAGGAGCTTAATACAGTGAATTCCAGATGTCAATACCTTGTTTACGCTCCTAACCTGGTAATACCAGATGCCGTTTCCCCCCGCTAATGAAAGTTTGCAACGGTCCATGAAATCAATTAAGTTAACCGTCGCCATAAAACATCGTTTGTCTACGCCAAACTTCCCTATTCATTAAATTCTTGACATGTGGTAACAATTTACATATATAAATACACTTAATAAGCTCACACAACCAACTCGCTGTCCCATTCGACTGCTTCCACCTCTTTCTCTTGGGAAAAGAAGAGATAGAAAAAAACTACTACAATGGGTAAAATAAAGATATTTTCATTGTCAAATGATGTAAAATATATATTGCAGTTCTAAAAAAAAATGATTTCTTTATTTGAACAAATGACCAATTACCTTGACTTCATCAATGAGATTTTCTGAAACTTGTACTCCCTCAGCGTGGCCTTCCTTTAACCTTAACAGCACAATGATGAAAGATGCAATAGAATCCTCTACCTGAGACAACAAACTAGACAAAACATCGTAAGGACATGGGGTTTCCTCTGAAATGCCATACATTTTCTTCACTTGGTTCCATACATCATATTGAGAGAGAGTCTCATTCAATCGTTTTTTCACACTTGGAGGGATATGTTTATGAAATGATGTTGCCACATCTTTCTCTTCCATATCTTTGCTGTAATGGTAAACATGCTGAACATTGAATAAAATATTGCCTGTATTAGCTGGGAGCTGTGTTAGAACCTCAGAAGCAATCTCTCGTGTTCCTGTTTCTAACGGATAACCCCTATGTGTCTGGTTTAGAACTTGGTTTTCCGTTGTTCCGATGGTCTGAGGATCAGTGGCACCTTGGTTTCCAATATATGCAATTATGGGTTTATTCCGTTGGTATTGGCCTTGCTGGTAATGCGGCTGGTTGGGTCTCGACTGTGAGTGGTTGACATTATGCCACTGCAGCTCTCCACCTGATAATGAGAAAATATAGTCTTGCCTCTACACTACAGAGTCAACTGTTGACTTTATCGACTTTATCAAAACACACATTGTAACCAATCTAATCATGTTTTTTTGTGACACGAATAATAAATATTGGACCAACCTACCATTCTTAAAGTGTATTCATTGATGTCTATTGTCACAACAGCAAATTCACAGCAAATGTTTAAATGTACTAAGTTTGATTCCATACAACAATATATACATCCTAAGGGCACGTATCGTGCATTCAGAATAATGGAAGTTCAAGATTCACATTTAGTTTTTTAAAAAAGTAGGAACATGAACTCAAGCAACGAAATCAGCTGAAGCTAATTAAAGGAAATGCAGATAGAATTAAGAAAAACCCAATATCACCGATTCACCCCATTTGAAAGAAATCAGTTGAAAAGAGTACGGCACATTGGACTCAACTTTTGAAAAAAAATGTTCGAAGAAAGGCTATATAATCTAAATAAACGCATGACAGCAATATAGCGTGAACCCCCAAGGATTTAGGTCGATCCAGGATGGATCGATCTTAATCTGTGGGAACCCAGTCTTATACAAACGAGATACCATACATATGGCAGGGAGATTTGGTGGTGTGAAGGGAATGGGTTTTCGCCGTAATGCGCATTTCCGAAGGCCATGTATTCTTGGGAATGAATGTCCTGGACATGTATGTCCTCAGTCTCTCATTTCCGGGAATGCGTGTCCTGGCACATAGCATTCCTGGGGTTTTAAGTCCTGCGGGCATCTATTACTTAGTATTCTAAGACCTGCAGACAGGTATCGATATCCTAGCCGGACATTTTTTCCAAACAAGACGAATAGATATCCCTTGATATTTTCATACGGTAGATGTAACATTTTTGGAAGGTTTAAAATTCGAGTTTTTTCTCATAACATGAATGCCGTTTTTTGATTTTACAGCGTAGCACATACACGTTTTCCGGTGAAATGCAAGCATATCAAATACACTGCTACCCCTTCCCATATACGAATGCATATGTTGAACACCCATCACGTCTATACATTTCTCGGGTGATATTTAATCATCTCATACTTGTAGCCTTTGCAATCACTCCAAATAATTGTAATTACAAGGACAAATGCAATTTGAGACTATAAATGAAACGTGGATAATTTTTGTCTCTAGCCTGATATCTCGTGAAGTCTGAAAGATTGGCTCTTGTTACCGAATTCCCGAATTTCCCATTTTAATTTGTTGTATTTTCATTAAAAACCACATGCTCTTATATATTGTAGGGTGTCCACTACGTATCCTATAAAACTCGGTCAAGATCTCAATAGTCTCCTTCGATGAGTTAATTAAAAAATTTCTTAAATCAAAATGTCACAACTAGTTGTTAAAAAAATCTCAGTATTTAAATTAAAGTCTAATTTATAATTTAAAACCTTTCCTCATCAAAACAATGCTAACTGTATAGCCGGAGAAGATTTTTTTTTTTTTTGCATAGAGATATTTAAATTGTTGTTGGGGGTTAGAACATATTATTTTCTCTACCCTGTTTGCATTTTAATCAGACGCCTTACTCTTGAGCCTGTTGGCGCTGCTGCCAACTTGTAACCGACTGAAAACCACCGACACGTATCGATTTGTTTTCATAAATATTGAACTAACAATTATTATGCAGACCTTGTGTTTTTGTGGACATATGGAAAGAAATAGCCTTACAAGAACCTGTGTTCTAGCTGCATATAAATACAGCTGGGAATCTAGGTGCGGGTAGGAGAGTACATTCTAGGGAACGCATGTCCATCTATACATTGCTCCAAATGGTTGGAAAACGGACATTTTGGGAGGTATTTCGTCCTGTTTCTTTCATTGCAATGGTTATTACCGAATTTATACCGTCTGTATTGCTAAATATGTGACGCTGGAGGATTATAAGAAAAGTCGTAGAGAAACAAACAATGCAAATCCAAGAAAAGCGTTAATTTATTTAGTAATTTCTCATCCCCCCAAAATGAGTGTTTCTTTTGCATAACAATAACAAGTGAAAAAATAAACACATATTCCTACTGCGACTGACAGTTTTAATAATAAAATATCAAAAATTATTAAATTATGAAATTTGGGGAAATTGTCATGAAACACTTTCAGACCTCATTATTAATCTCAGTAGCGGGTATGCCCACCGCGAGCTTTGATTATTGCATGGCTTACTGTGAACTAAATATATATCTCTATAGAGACGGATTCTGGTCCTTTTATCTTTAAAGGCATCTCGCGGTTGATCTAGATATGCAGGGTTTTTTCCTTTGAATAGCAAGACCAAGTTTGGCCCACGCGCTTAATTGGGTTTTCATCTAGGCTTCTTGCTGGTTGTGGCATCAATTTGTGGCATCAGTCAGTCGCATAATCAGCAGAATGTTGTTCTGGCGGATATAGTCGATAATTAAGCGAGCTGTATGGGGATTAACATGATGCAACGAACGGCTCCAGGTTCTGTTGGAGAATGTCCCTGTATCTGGCAGCATTTAAGTTTTCATTCAGAAGAAACAATGCGCAAATGTCGTTGATCCAAATGGCATCCGAAGCATGTAGGAACCATCTCATTCTGCTATTGTTTTCTGGAAATTTCCAATCAACAGAACCTAACCAACGAGTCTGCGTACTCTCATCCTTCCATCTGTAGGGTACATTAGAAAACGGAACTCATTAGCAAACACGTGATTCCAATGTTGGACCGGAAGGTTACGGTGTTGTCGAGCCCACTGCAGCCTATTTGCTCGGTGGGCAAGTGTCAAGCCTGATTTCTTTGCCATTCTTCTTGAAGCGTAGCTGTGTTGCAACGGCCTGCGGTATACCGTCTGGCGATACAATTGAGGAAAACGTCGGGCCTTTGGCTCCAAGGCAATAGATTTAGCAGATTTGGCTCGCTTTCTTCTTGCCATGGTGTTGCTGACACGATCACTTCTGGCAGTCGCACTTTGGAGTCTACCCGTAGATTAAGCAGGTGTCACATTTCCTGTCACAGCTCTTCACGCAGTTCTTATGTCCACACCCAAACAGCTGGCTATCTCGATTTGTTCTTCGTCCACATCTGCATATGCAACCTCTGATGTCGTATTCCCATATCAGTAGGTCGCGGCATGGTGTCAGTAACCGGTAGACACAGTTTCTAATAAGGAAACCGCAAAAACTGACGGAATATGACAAATGCACCCACCCCACCAGCATTGTACCAAAACTATGTGACATGTTTCACACACTCAAAGCACTCCAGTCATAACCAATGGAGAGTGACTAACTAATGCGAGTAAAAATACCAAAAATGTTAAAGTTATTTTCGACGTGTATCATCCATTTTGGGCAATAGCGTATTAATAATAATTAGCTGAAACAGACTTGACATTTAATATGGGATATTTTATTCCGAATCATTTTCACCATTTTTCATGTTTTTTCTAACTGATAAACGAAAATAAGTATTAGGATCATGCTATAATAACTTCGAATAATCCCCTTGTTATCAGCATGACACCAGTTCATTAATTGGATTCGTCAGTAATGCAAACAAAAATACATTGCCTATTCTAAGGCATACGACAAACATTAAGAGAGATATTTTGGGTCTCCATATTTTCCTAATTACCATCTGTCAAAGAGCTACAAAGGGCCCTCAAGCCAGTGTGTAGTCACAGCATCGGGCGCTGTATGCCTGACCTCAACTGGCTGCTTCCAAGGCCCTCAGACGGCAAGACATTCATTGGGATAGATTTTAGACGAGTTTAATAAGAAAAAAAAACATGCCAGGCATCGATCAACATTTGTCCAATTTGTCTCAGTTTTGTTGTAGGATAAGTAGGTCATTGATTTGGCGAAAAATGACCTACCCACATATCGTCTGTGTGGTTCAAATCTGACGATCTTGATGGCCAAGGTAGCTGCTCATTCGCTTGGTTCTGTGAGTTACCTGTGATTAAATATGCTTTGTGTGAAACAGCATTTTCGTCACCCAACCTTAAACTGTTCCTAAGGTGCCCCCTAACAAATGGTTGTCAAGTGGTTCCCAGAAAATCCCTTTATTTGATGTGGTTCAGGTTTTCATCCATGTCTATGGTGTTTTGCGTCAATGTGATATCCAATGAACTGACGTTGTTAATGACCCCAGTCACCACTTTAGACGCGGCGCAAGTTTCGTCGTAGACTCGAGTGGTGCAGGTGAAATCTGACTTCGGTAAAGAAAGCCACACAGTTTCAGTGTTCTACCCAGAAACGGCTATGGTCCCCAATTCATTACTGAAACAGACGATTTGCTGTTTACAGTGGCTTCCTTGGAAGTAGTCTGTTTTTTTAACCTGCTAAAACCAGTTTCGTGTTCACTACGAGCATTGCGTTTCTGGTGGCAATTTTCCCCTCATTCTGAACGGAATTGGTGCTCTTTGTTAAGTTGCGGCAGCATATCTCGAAGGACAGTTAGTCATGTACCCTGTTGGTAAGATTTTGATACATTGGACGTGGCTTCTTTGTAGGTAAATCAGTCTGCACAAAACTCTATAAAGCTGTGTGGACCGTTCCGTGTGACACAATAATCTGTCGGGCAATATCTGCCTTTTTCCGCCATTCTGGCACAGATTTACAATATTGTATAATAGTGCCGAGTTCATTTTCAGACTGCAAACCCGACCGCTTGCACACAAAATTCTTAATTCTTCTATGCAGTAGTTACCGACTTATGGCTATTTTTGTCAGAAGCACGCTTCCCCAAAGCCCAGCTTTGACCAGTCCTAAGGAGCATTACCCAATTAAACCACTGCATATTATGCAATTAATTAGTGCTACAGACATGGTAGTCAGTTGATAGCGACACACCTGACTCCACACTTCTCCGTTCACGTATCTTAAATGAAATCTGATTTTTTTAAAGAAAGCTCTTTACCTAAGCATATCCGGGAAACAAAAATGTCCATATTACATGTCAAGTCTGTAAATAAATGAAATGTGTGATATACAATAATTTCTTCAAAATCCTGCTAAACAGAGTTGAAAGTGGATGTTTTTTTTTTAAGAAAATAGGCAACAATGGTCTAATATGTAGCACCACAGCATGAATTGTTTTTCTTTTTTTGATATTTTAGGTTTCTCCTACACAATGTTCTATAGGAAAAAATGCCCTATACGACCTTAGGATTTTAGGCCAATTTCCTATAGGGCCCTGTAATGCATCGTGTCGGACCTTATAGGATATTGGGCCAATTTCGTATAGGACATCCTACCTGTATAGCGACTTAACGTGAGGGTTCATCTGTAGCTCAAGGAATTGACTTATCACTTACGGTGAGAAAAATGCAGCTCCTTTAAGACTTAAATTTTGTCTGAGGGCAAGTTGTTTACCTTGGTATTTATAAGGTTCCATGGTTTCGTATGACTCCTGTACATCCTCAGGTTTCACGGCAAGAAGATATGCGAGGTCAAGCTGGTTCTCGTCAACAAACCACTGCCGCAGATGCCCCACGGGATCCTTAACCAATGGGCATTCCAATACCTTATGTAATAATAGACTGCATTTGTCTGATGATGTTTGCTGGCAATTAATTTCCTCTATGTCTGAATAACTAATGATGCTACTTGAAAAAAGAAAATCTAACAGTCTCATTATATCAATTCCTTCATCAGCTATGTAGGACAAGTGTTTGCTCAGATTTTCACATTCAACTTCGTGGACCCTTGCTTTCTGAAAAAAAAATGCTTCAAAATGGACTATATGGCGTTTTTATGCCCCAGATCAGTAATCCAAGAAAAGTGAAAGTATACTCCTGTCAAGAATACATGAACGTTCCGAATGATTCTTTTACTTCATAACTATCCTTAATTTATAAACCATCACAATAAATACTAGTAAAAATAAATAATACAGCAATTAAATTTATCAAAAACTATATGGTTAATGGGAGAAAAGAAACTTACTCTAACTTCACCAATCATAATCTCTATTTCAGATGATTTAACAATTTTCTTCACCCTCTCTCCAACCCTCCTCAACAGCCACATAAGTTGCTGAAAGGAACCCTGCAGATGGCGGAAGACAAATTCCACCGGTTCTTTGGGACAGCAATCGTCCTCTAACCGAAGTTCACGTACAGTAGTCTCCCATACCCCTGGAATCTTAAAAATGCGATCCAAGTTTGCTTTTGCCCCCAAAGGCAGATACCGCTGTAAAACATGTACAAGAGCAGGTGGCGCAGCAGCCATCAACTCCAGGTCTCCAGTCTGATGAATATGAAGCCGCGATATGTTTTGAACAAAGATGGGTTGCATGTTTGGCTCCATCCATCTGTCACCAGCACCATGAGCGGCAGCCATGTTTGTTTGCGTTACAGCTGCCTGGGCTAAACCTATTCTGCCATAGCGCTGAGCACACAGATCTCAGGGGTGTGGAAGCTGTTGCTGTAATGTTAGATTTGGAAATTACTGACGGTATGCATGCTGCTGTTTCTATGTGCAAAAATATCAATGTAACCCCCATTCAAAAGATCATGGGAGACGGATTCATTAGATGCAACCTGATTACAGCACAAATTATGTAAAGATTTATCAACAAAACGTCAGAAGATTACAAGTTTAAAACATAAACAAATAAGCAGGCAAATATGCATGTATCCATGTGTAAATAAATAAAACATATATTAATAATTAACTGGAGTACACTTTTTAGAGCTGTCAAATAGAAAACATGGTGTACATTTTAGCACAGATATTCATGACCCAGAAAGCATGTGAATTACACTGGGGTATTAGTACAGTTTACATGTACATTAAATAACGTCTTCATTTTTGTTATCACATATGATATACGGACGTTGCACATGATGTTTAATAAATATGTAACCAATTTTAAACTTATCCAACTGACTTTTTCTTCCTGATAAATGAATTGAACACGTGGTTGACCTAAGATTAGTGGAAATAGTTTAGATATGTGGATCTACTTCTGAAGATGATGAATACAATTAACTCAAAAATCCAAAATGCGATGACTTTCCATGACCAGTAGATGAATGTTCTATGGTAGGAAAGTCAGGATACGGGAATTGTGTTTTTAATCTTGGACCATGAAACTCTAAAGGTTCACCTTTATTTTTATTGATTTATTTATTTTGCCCTGATTTTTTTCCCTCTGACGAAATATCAGCTTTAGTTTGAAAAAAAAGTAATATATCAAAAGAATCAAGGATATTCGAGAAATGTACGTGTCTAGCCCATGGAAGTTCAAAGTCACACCTTGAAAATGATTACTTGTAAATTCTGAAAATTTCAATTAAAACGCACACATGCCTAACTTCAAAGAGAAAATGCAACCATCCTGGTTTCCCAACTTAAGCCAGCAATATTTTAACCCTTTTGTTTTTTTTTTTTTTTTTTCTGTAAGTTTAAGAATCATAAATAACATGTTTTCATTTAATGATTATTATGGCGGTGTAACATGAAAATCTGACTCCCATGAAAATGTGACTCCCCAGTCAGATTTTCATTATGAAAATGTGACTCCCCAGTCAGATTTTCATAATGAAAATGTGACTCCCCCCATGAAAATTTGACTCCCCCTCCACTAAACTTCATACATCTTATTTTATTTGAGTATATGAATGTGATCTTGTTGTATGTAAAATGGATGATACGTTGGCACATTTTTTGTAGTTTGCAGTGAAAATTTTAATGAAAAAATAAGAAAATTAAAAATGAGCACATAATGAAAATCTGACTCCCCCATGAAAATTTGACTCCCCCATCATAAAACTTTATAAATCTTATTTTATTTTGGGTTTATGTCTGTGATCTTGTAGTATGTAAAACGGAGGATACATTGGCACATTTTTTGTAGTTTGGAGGTGAAAACTTTAATGAAAAATAAAGAAAATTAAAAATGTGCACAAAATGAAAATCTTACTCCCCCGTGAAAATTTGACTCCCCCATCATAAAACTTCATAAAACTTATTTTATTTTGAGTATATGACTGTGATCTTGTAGTATGTAAAAAGGAGGATAGATTGGCACATTTTTTTGTAGTTTACAGGTGAAAAATTATGTGAAAAAGTAAGAAAATTAAAAATGTCCACTTAATCGCCTATTGTCTCCCCTATGAAAAAGTTATTTAATATTTGATGATCATTTCATCACCTTTTCTTGTAGGATACTTTATGAAAAATATATTGGAAATATTTAAATGTTTGATGATAAAATAGTGAAAGCATGAAAAAAGAAATCATGAAAATCTTTATTTTTACACCCATGAGATTTGGACTCCCATGGAGAAAAGGACCTATTTTATATTCAGTCACCATACCACTGTTTTCCACATTTTTTGCATAGAGATGGATATTTTATCATCATTTGAAAGTTTGATGATGAAAATTTTGGTCAATATTTTTAAAACAAGTATCCGTCTTTATTCTTGTAGGTTTTGCACTCCCATGTCAAAACACTACATTTTTAACACAAGAAATTGGCCCCATCGCCTTTTTTTTAATTCTTCTTATATAGCATACCCAACAAAACACTTGCTTTTGTTTTCCCATTATTTTCCCCAAAGCTGGATGAAAGATGGGGCTTAATTAAGCAAAAAGGATAATAAGTATGCATTCTTGCGCCCATAGGACTTTGACGACCCATCTTACAAATCAAATGTTTCATATTTAATATTTTTCCTTTAAGGCTACGACATATGAATAAGCTACCACCAAGCATGTCACAGTCCTATCACATTTGAAAGTTTGGTGGTGATAACTTTCGTCAAAATTGAGAATTTTTTAGCAGCATTATTCACATGTTGGTGATATTTCCTTACTATTGTGTTTTTAAATTCCAATATGATTTTTTTAGTTAAGGGGCAAAAGTATTTTGATTTAGCCTAGTGTGCAAAGTAATCATTAAGTTTTCACTGCCACAAGGGAAA